TGCAGCACAAAAATTATTGAAAACTAAAATGTTAAAATATAAAAAAATGTTACATAATTGAACCTAATTTAAAATAATAATCCATTTAAAATGTCCCAATCATATTTTCTATTTTATAAATAAAACAATGTTTTAACTACACGTGTGAATAGTTGAAAATATAAGTATGTAATTGAAAACATCATTTTCACCTACAAATATTGGGAAGTGATCAAAAGTTGAAGACGTGTCCTGTGGAAGCTCTCAGAAGACACAGTTTTTATTAGTCCCACTCTTCATTCTCAACAACCACCACCCACAACGAATTTTCAAATTAATTCTTATAAATAAACTGTTAGAGCAAGTGTGAATTACAATTACTAAAAATAATAAAAATATATATATCATTTATGTATTAAACTTTTTGAGTTAAAAAGTAATATTATATTATTTTATATAATTATTTCGTAATTTTACTCATAAATATTATTCATCACAAATATTCAATAGCAATATTCGGAGAAAAATATATTAATATATAGAAATTTACTATTAAGGGAGATAATTAAATTGAATTTATAAAATTAAGTAAGATATAAAGTTCTTTAGTTAAATTATAGTGAAAATTTTCATTTAAATTATTTGTATTCATTTAAGTAAGTAAAATAAATTGTTCACTTTCTATTTTTTTTTTTTATTCATCTAGGTAATGTATTTTTTGTATTTTAACTATATTTTTATATTTTTCATTTGGTTGTCTTCTAAATTCAAGACAATTAATTGTGAGGGGTTGAAAGTCTTGTGTTAAGACAAATATTTGCAGAGAGGCCTCAGAGTTTAACAGCGTCGGTGAGTGGAATTAAATAAAGTCTCATTTATTGCAAGCTGTTTCATATTTCGATTTTTTTTTAGTTTTTTTTTTTAATCTGAATGTAAGAAAATTTGAGTATTATGTTTGGTTTAATTTCCAAAAATAAAGTTTTCGGGACATAATTTTTTATGAAGCTTTTCATAAATTTATTCCTTGAGCAAATAGTTTTATACTTTTAATTAATCATGGAATATTATTTTTATTATATTTTTAAAATCATTTATATATAATTAAATAAAAATGCAAATCTTTTTACATTATTAATAAATGGATTATTTTCTTTGGCTAAATCAATTTTAACCTAAACATGTTTAGATGTTTAATTCAGAAACACAACATGAGTTTAGAAAAAACAATTGTAAAGACTATTACATTATTATGAGTAAAAGATGAGGTTGTTGTTAAGTTGTTGGCAGCACCATTTTTGGTTGATGATTTTGGTGCCACTTGTTATGAGTGAATAAAATTTTCAAAACTGAACCATGGTCCTGCCCCCTGTGGTGTATACTTGTCAAGCAAGAACTTTTGGGTCAATTGTCAACACAGTTCCAACAAAAAGTATATAAATTAACAAGTGATGACAACCTCACCGTAATGTAATCTCTATTCTCTTGGTCCACCTTCTTCATTTTTTGACCAAACAATTCCTTCAATGTTTTAGTCCTTTTAACACTTTTGACCATTCATTCATGTTTACCAACCTCACATACAACCTACAATGGTAACACATATCTTGAACCTTTCAAATACTCACAATACCAAAATTCAACCTAAATAATAATAATTTAAGATGCATAATTAATTAAATAATCGTTTAGTTTCTGGATTTGTATATAATGGCAATTTAGTTTTTGAAGAAAAAAAGTTGTAAAAAGTGAGAATTTCATTATGTTTTATACTTTCAATGAAGGAGTTGAATTGCATTACTTCTACTCTGGTTTTTTCAAGGTCCTTCATATTCCACCACTCACCAAACCATATATCTGTGTATAATAGTCGGTCCATGATCCTTGTGAGACAAGTCGGTGACTTGGTCTTTTGTGTGTTTTGGCACTTTCACAAGAAAAAGGAAAAACAAAAACTGAATCAAGTTTTAAATGAAGGAGGAACCACCCACGAAGTTGCTTGAGATCGATTTGCATACACACATGTTTGACTTGTTTGGTCTGATCTGTGTGTCACAGCTAGAAATAAGGATCTAAATCATTCATCATCATGATTTTTGCACACACACATAGTGAGATACCATATATACAAGTATTCTTTAAGTTCCTGTACTTTTGCCCCATTTGTTTGAGAGTGGAGTTGACAAATGTTCACTGCAAAAATTTATGGTCAACCCCATTTTTAAGTATACTTACTGAACAAGTATTTTGAATTTTTCACATTGTGATAAGTCAACATGTGATGCTACTACTTGCTATTTATTAGAATTTATTAGGCTAATTGCAAGTTTACAATTGAAAATTGCAACAGCACTACTATACCAGTCTCTATTTGTGTACTTGATTTTGTGTTTGGAATTTGTGTGTGTGAGACATGCATGTGATATAAAAGGGAATTAAGAGCAAGATAAATAATAATTGCTTAAAAGCAAAGTGCATACATACTTAAAATTTAATTATGCAGCAGCACACACCATGCATGCGTGGTGTAGGCGAAATATCAAATTAAGGAGCAGGTTTATATGATTTTGCAGACACCTACAGCTACAGCTAAAAGAAGCAGAAACATGTCACTATGTCAGTGGTTGGATTAAATAAATGTTGAACCAATTATATGTTCCTCAATAATTCTGCAATGATGTATATTTGCAACCATAATTAACTATGGCCCAAGCAAATCCCGAGTTACATATACAACCTGCTTGTTATGTATGTTCACCATAATAAATATTCTAATAATATATCGAGAAAAGTTAGGTGATCAACTTCAGCTAGCTGGAGGTAATGTCTTCACTAGATTAGTATTGCAGGCAGCATGTGTTCCATGGCTTTGCTTGTGGGAATGAGCTATGTGAAACCAAGTCCAAGGCACCAAAGAAGTATAAAACTTGACCAAACTACAACATTAGTTTAATCCTACATCTCAAAATGAGGTTATTGTTTGAGGATTAAAGTATTGATAATCTGGAAAAGGTTGTTTGAAAATGAGGAGGAGGTAGTCTAGGAAGTTATTTGAACCATAGGGTGTAGGCAAAGGCTAAAAGTGTGAGAAGTCAGAAGAGAAGATAGGGTCAACTAAAAAAAAAGAGGACACCAAATGAAACAAGCTGGCATGCATATGTGATTCATGCACAATCCACCTACCAATTGGGTATCGGATAACACTACTCATTAATTAAGCTTTCATCATTGCATGGACTGCATCAACATACACACCTTCATAATACAATGACGCCATAGAGTTAGTTGTTTCAATCAAAATTAATATTTTTCATACACCCCATAGCCCCATTATGGATCCCATGTGACCATTTTTCACACCAAACACCGCTGTTTTGGCTTTGATTGTTTTCAGCACTGTTGGTTTCACTGTTTTTGTGTATGTTTTAATCTTCGTTAGTGAAGACAGGTACTAAGTAGTGGTTTTGGTTTACTTGGTGCTTTCATTTTAGCTGATATATAATAGTTATGAAAATGTCAAATTATTTTTATGATTTTGCAATGACGAAGATAGGATTTCATGTATTCCAAAAAAAAAATGAAATAAAGTGGTATTTTATCACCATTAATGGTAATGAATCTGTCGAAAATGAACAGTGAAATAAATCAAACACCATAAGATTTTCAAAGAACAGAAGAAAAAGTACAAAACGGCTAAGAATCTGCATGCTGAATCCCATAAACATGTAATGCCATCTATTTATTTGTTTTGAAAATAAATAAATAAAGAATAGTGGGTACTCATTTATTATGGTTGTGACTATCGTATTTCATCATAATGAACCATTACTGCAGGGAATCCTAAACACAAATACATTAAATATGTATGAAGTATGAATACAAGCAAAGAAACCTGCAGAAAGTACGAGGCAAGCATATGGTACTACGGAAAATCAAATATGTCAATTATTTTTTTAGAAGGTCCCTTTGGGACGTGGAGCACATGGAAATTTTCTACTCGACACATTGTTGAAAACATGTTTCTGAATTTTCCAGCATGAAGATGGTTGGATCTCAGAACAGCTGGCTACTGAAAACCCTTCTCTATCTTTTTCGGCCCATAACGTTGTGCTGTGTCATAAACAGAACATGGAGCTTCTGAAAGGAAACCAATTGTATCTATGCAAGGTTCAATTTCAATAACATTAAAAAGCCTGAGCTTATGAATGTTCAGCTTGTTAAAAGTTAACGGGATTAAACACATTTTTTGTTATTTCATAAAATAATAAATTCAATTAATTTTAGACATGTAATTTATTTATTTATATTTGAATTAGCTACTATCATACCAAATGTATAAATAAAAACTAAAACTCAAGAATTTGAAGAAATTAGATAAAGATAATCAATAAATCAAGTAACATGACGAGTGATGGTTTACCAACCAAATTATTTTAACACCGGCCCAAGGCTTTTTAAAAGTCAAGTATGATTATGATAGAGATTCAATCCTCTAAACTTTTTTTTTTCCGTTGTCCTTATCCAAGTGTTTGTACCTCCTAGCCAACCTCTAGATCAAGCCACATAAGTAGCTACTGGACACAAAGTACATGTTCCTAACCTGCATTTTTCTACTTACAACCAAGCTCAATATCTTTAGATTGAATTATGAAATACTATTTTTTTTTTAACATGTTTAGATAATTATTGTCATAAATATTTATAACAAAAACATTTTTTCCTTTAGTTAGAGTTAATTTATATATGGACTAATTTATAGAAGATGTATACACAATTGACTAATACTTATGTGCTTAGTTATCCCACCCGTGTGCACTTTTGAGTTAGCACATCACGGAGACAATATCCAAATTTAAACAAATCAAGATGATAAAAGGTACACAAAACATTTTAAGCGTTATATATCTATGCCATGTTTACAAAATTCAGGCAATTTCCTAATACCAAGTTTTACACATGTATCGCAACCTAAAGACCCAAGAACTGATCATACTTATAATGCAACTTGCAGAAATGGAATCCTTTCAAACTGGTAAGTTTTGCACTCTTAAGTGCTTATACTTTTGCTCTTTGTTGAATTTTTTTGCACTCTCTGTCAAACCTTTAGATAAAAGGAGCTTCAAGGCATCAACTCCCTCTTGCAAAGCCTCATCAATCTGTTCAACAAGAAAAGCCAACAGTGAGATGGATAATTTTGTAACTTGGCCCGTTTTAATACAGTGCATATATACAACGATGTGAGAAATATGCAATAGATATTTCCACAAGCTCACCACAAGAAATCTGCTATAGTATAGAAATGGGGTAGGGTGCCTCAGGGTAGTACTCTACCACCTCTACACACATCATATGGTATTAATAACTACGGCTCCATTGTAAAAATTTTGTCCTAAAATTCTCTGGATCAATATTTTTATAAAGCCACCCAATGGAAACTATTAGCATATTTTTATGACATTGCACTAAAGTAACAAGCGACTGCTATCGTATTTGAAATTTGTCACACCCCGTAGGGCAGCCAGACCATCCATCTTGGCACCACATCATCACAATGTCAAATCATTATTATCCCGTCATATTTGAACTCCCAGTGGCATTGATAATTGGATTCAAGTTGTACACTTAGTTGAAAACATGAGTAGCACCATTGAAATTTGAAACACGGGAACCAAACTGAAACGTTTATCACCTGAGAAACAAAAAGTGCATTTAGCAGTTGACCAAGAACTTACTCGCTGTCTAGCTGTTAAATTAAACTTTTGAAGCAAAAATGCTTTAGGATCCATTTGCCCAGGAGGACTCCCAATCCCTACCGACAAAGTAAATTGAAAATAAAAATGACAATAATAAACTAAAATAGCGAAAGAATAAAGGATTTGCAACAAAAGCACCAACCAATTCTCAGCCTAGGAAATTCTCTATTTCCTCTGAAGTGATAGATCACACTCTTCAGCCTGTCAATGAGAATAAGAAGGAAGAACAAGATGAGTAGCATTACTTGAGTCGAGAAGCACTTGACAAGAAAAAATCACAGCTGAAAAGATTCCATGAACTCAATTTCCATCACCACTCATGCCTTAAACAATATTATTGAATTATAAAAAACTGCTTTACTTCAGCTACGCCAAAAAACAGCATTCCTTTTTGCCAAAAATCATGAAACATTATACATATGACAACATATGTCCCCTTGAAAAATGAAGATGTAATGTATGATGGTGAAGATATATATCCACTATGAATAGATAAAGAAAAACTATATGATTAGGTTTCCATACAAAGTACTAATAGACTGTTCATTTACTGAAAGTCAGACATCTATTAGGGCAGGGTTCTTGATATAAAATATTCTCACCGGAATGCATTTTCATACAATTTAGATTCCAAATAATCAGGAGTCAAGGATAACTCCTCATGGGTGCATTGCTTGCATATTAAAACTCAAATCAGGAATAGAATTGAAACCATCTAACGTTGCAGTCAATAGTTTTTTCAATAATTTAAATGGACAAAGAAGACATATTCCTTATTTTCAATAAGCAATTGGATAGCAAAGCTACAATAAATGTCATGACAAATTGTTTTTTAATTCCAGATGAACTAGAACACAACTTTGAGAATTTCGGTACGAGGGCACAAAACTTATAGGAGGCTGGTGTGAAGAAGGAAGGTGAGGGATCAAAATAACAAGTAGTAAGTATCATTAACAACCCTAACTGTTAGTCAGAAACAATTTTTCATTGTCAACTCTGCTATAGCATCCAAATGTACATGATAAGTAAGTAATGTTCACGATTCACTCATTAGTAACTGATTTCTCATCGTTCTAGTCTATACCCAACTGTAATGCAGATAGCCTAGTTAAAAAAAATTATGATAATTTTGTAAAAAGGATGAGAATTAAAAAAAAAAAAAAAGAGAGAGAGAGAGAGAGAAGCTAAATGGTAATACTTGCGGAAACGACCTCAATATGAAGTGCAGAACAAAAAAATGGGAGACTTGGATTACAAGTTAATGTTGCTGAAAAATAAATGGATGTCTTTCAAGGACTGCAAAAATGCTTGATTAGGCAACAATTAAATGCAACATTCAAAATATATTATTATTGTTGAAAGTCCCACATCGCCTACCTCATATCATTTGGTATGGTTTAAATACATGTTAGGCTACTCCACATATTGCCAATTGGTTTTATGTTGAAAACTTAACATGGTATCAGAGCCAAAGCCTAACATCTTTCCGGTTATTGTCATGGGCCAAAAGTTACCCTTTAGTTGGGTCAAAAGTACCCTTTGCCTGGTCCGGCAGGCTTCGTTGGAGGGGGTGTGTTGAAAGTCCCACATCGCCTACCTCATATCATTTGGTATGGTTTAAATACATGTTAGGCTACTCCACATATTGCCAATTGGTTTTATGTTGGAAACTTAACAATTATCAACATGTTACAGCAGTACAAGAACAGGATGTCTTTTATTGTGAAAAACTAGATGAAATTGCATGAAATAAAAAATGAAAAAGGTGAACCATTCAAAGTAAGTTGCGAAACACGTTCTGGAATATCTATGATAGGTCTATTATGCAAGTATGTAGGAAGTGAATGAAAAAGAAAGGGACCCAAGAATTAAGAGAGGAGAGGAAAAAATGACATTAGAGACTGGGAGAAGAGAGAGAAAAATAACTAACAAAATGGACAGGTGGCATGGAGAGAACCGAGGACGGAATGCCGAAAGCCAGAAGTCAAGCAAGGGGAGAGAGAATAATTGATTAGTTTGACAGTGTAACAAAAAAGAGGGATAAGGGGATGAGAGAATTTCTGGAGGGTCACGTTGCGTTTGTTAGTCTTAGCAGAGGAACTTGTCATTTATCAGTCACTAGGTGTTACCATTGTTATTTTATTCTAATTCCTATTTGCCATCTTGTAAGCACTTCAATCCATTCATTTGTTTTCTGTAATTTCCACTAATATACTGTAACAGAGGATTCCTCCTCTGGTTGTAAGGGAATCCATCAATATATATGTATCAGTTCTTTCTCTATTTCAATCTATATCTAGCTCCTATCCAGTGGCGGATCTTGACCATTGATCCTGGGGGGGCCAAATAATATATTATTAATAAATATAAAAGGAATAAAGAAGATAAAAGGGTAAAAGGATAAAATTGTAAATATATACTTAAATATATTAAATGATCATTAAGTTAGAGAGACACAAAATCATAAATTATATAAGAGTTATAAAACTAAGGAGGGACTGAGAAGATAAAATTGTAAATATACAAGTAAATATATTAAATGTTAATTAAGTTTGGGGGGGTCAAAATCATAAATTACATGGGAGTTACAAAACTTTGGGGGGGCCACGGCCCCCCTTAGCTCCCAAGAAGATCCGCCACTGCTCCTATCAATGTATGATAGAGGGGCAAATGTTTATACATAATGGGTTCTTTACCCCTAATAAAACCACAAACCAAGATGCAACCTAATCAGGAGTCTAAGATATCCAAATTATTTTATGAAATTGCATAGTCATTCATACCAAAGTATAAGCTATTTGTAAGGACCGTAGTACCGGTGGTTAAAGTAAATTTTGAAAGTTGACCCTTCACAGTTAAAAATAGTTTAAATGGAAATCTTTTGCTATTCAAACTTCATTTATATAGAATCATCATCTCTCAAAGATCTCTCACCCACTTTCCATCTTTTTCTAGATCCAAACACACCATAGTACTCCTAGCAAGAAAAAAGGAAGATTTCTATATGATTGGAATCTTCATTAGAGTAAGTTTCTCCCTTTCCCTTTTCTAGGGTGGGATGCATATAAGGTGGGGCCTTGTATGTGTCATGAATTTGTTTGCATGTAGGAAAGTTTTAACATAAATGTGTTTTTTCTAACCTAGAATTCTTGTTTCATGTTTAACTTGTGGACATAGGTCCCTTGGAAGCAAAAATTTGGAGATTCAATGAAACTAGTTTTGGATTGGCAATTTTGGAAGAAATCCCACTAAGAAATGCTCAAATTGAGGTAAGGAAGGGAAGCTAGTAATTTGATTTTTTAGTGTATTAAATGTATTATGGTGACTTGGTCACAAAATGGGTGTAGAGAGTTGAATGATTTGTTTAATTTGGGGTTGTGGACTGTCTTGGAAAGTTATGTAGAGTTTTATCTGCATCATTTTTGCTCAAACAAGGTAGTTTCCCTTAAGCGACAAGGTCTCTAGATTGGGAGGGGTGGTCTCAGGTTTATTTTCGCTCAAGCAAGATGATCATAAAGAAGAGAGAGTTGGGGCAGCCAAATTCTTGGACAGGCGAAAATTTTTTGCCCAAGCAATAAACACCCAGAGGTTAGGGGTGGTTTCTGATGTAAATTCTAGCGCAAGCAATATTTTAGCTGAAGTAAGAAATTCTAACTTAAGCGAGAATCCATGGAGAAAAATATGAACTTGAATTTATTTTAAGGATAGTTGGATTAAATATATGAGATATGTGGTGAATATGAATTTAATGGTATTGACGGAGGAAATATTATGTTGAAATGTAGCTTATGCATTGAATTTTACATTTTGAAGCTGATATCCTAACTTTATTAATATTTGGCTATCATATAAGAAAGTATCAAGTGGTGAGAGTTGAAGGAAGTTTTTATGACTTAGATTTTAGTGTGAAAAAGAATTGAATCTAGTTAGTCATAAGGAATAACCTTGTCACATGAGGGAATGCATTTCAATTACGTATGTATGTTGGAGATTTCCACTTAGAAAAGATAGGTAGTGTAGCAGGTACAAATTCTCTGAGTTCAATTCAATGCATGAAAGTCTTTTGAAGGTATAATCATGTGTTTGTGATATGTATGTCAATGATGACATGCAATGTAGCCTAACAATTTAGAGATTAGGCCTTTGATTTGTAGTATACCTATGCATGATATGGAAATTGAAAATATTTTTGTGATGCTTATATGAATGAAAAAATTTATCAATAACTTACCCTAATTTGTGTAATATGTTGATCTTAACTACGATGATTATGTGGTTACAAATAAACATATAATATTTTGATGATGAGTCCTAACATTAAGTTGTTGAGAGAGAGAAGTGAAAGTTTTATAGTATTAAATTTTAGATATTTTGTTTTGAAATATGTATATAAATACCTATGTAATGATATGATATTATTCTGAAATATTTATACATGTAATCTAAATATTGAAAGTATTTATATCTTTGCATAATTTAGTTTTATTGTCTCAATGTAACTATTATGGGGATGTTATACTATCTGCACCACAATGTTATCTAATTTGGCTTACTATCTATTCTTTCATCATAACAAATTGTAGAATTGAGTTCCAAAGCGATGGCAATTAAATTATGATTCCAATAACATACAGTTAATTTCAACATTATCGATAATGATTGGATTCTGAAATTAGTGAATTACATAATTTAATGGTATAATAAGCACCGTAATATCTCTAGAGCAGTAGGTACTGGTCAATGTAAAAAAAAAAACTAAAGGATGGAGATAACAGTAATTTTGTTTCACAATTATCATTTAGTATTGTACCCTTTGTGGCTTCCATGACCACCTTTATTGTGAAGACGAAGCACCCCACATGGCAAGGTCATGTCATCATGGAACTGCAACAAAAAATAGATGATTAACTAAAGAATAGCACACCTGTCACCGATTAGATACTCATAAGAAAAGGTGTAGGATATGGAATAACTAACCACGAGCACCTGATTAAGAGGTAGCTTGTAATAAGCAGCCAGTGGTCCTGCCTGAAGTAAAATGAAGAGTCGTGAATGACATAAATTTGATAATAAGGACAAGTTTTCATATGTAACCTAAAGATCAACCTGTTAGGATTAAAAGAGGCATAGTTAGGTAATACAGGTAGGATATTGACTAGTTAGGGAGTTAATAAGTTAAATAAATAGGAATTTATTCTTTCACAATGACTATAACCTTACTCTAGTATATATGTATGAAAAGATTTTCTTAAAAACCAGCAGTCAATCCACAAAGGTGAATAAACACAGAAAGTAAACTTTCCATATAAAAAACCACAGAAACCTATGAAGGAAACAGAAAACTAACAGTCACAACAGCCCTAAGACACTACCAGGAAATTCCCTACATAAAATAACTGTAACAAAAGGGATAATGTAATACTAAAACAACCCCAAGACACAATAAGACGACTATAATTCTTCAAAATAACCTAAATAAGTCTTCTAATTATTTTAAATCCAGCATCTTTGTATTATAGGTGTCCGGAGAACATATCATCTTTAGTCTTTACCTCACCCCAAGGATCAATCAGTTTTATCTTCATTAAATCAAGAAGTGATCGTGAATCACGTAGATCACTCATTTCCCAAAGGCCATGTAGAAATAATGCTCTCATCCATTCCATCACCCTGTCACTTGCCAAAAGGCTTCATCTATTGAACATCTGGGAAAAGCATAATTTCATGGTGCTGTGGGATCTTGGTAGCCTAAATACCAGATATACTTAAATCATCTAAACCCATCATTTAATCTGAATAAAAGATTTAGTCACTGAATAAAATATCACCACAAATATCTCAAGATGGGTATAGTTCGTGAAGGTAAAGAGAAAGGAGAAAAAAAAAACATATTCCTTACAACATGTAGAATAAAACCTTTCTCAAGCATTCCTACCCATAAGTTTGTTTGGATGAGCTTCTCCAAAAGCACTTATAGGATAGAAAAGTAAGGAAAAAAAAATTCCTTATAAGCTAAATTAGCACATGTTAAAAATAAAAATTTATAAAAACAATAGAGTGCTTTTCTACAAGTTAGCTTATGTATAAGCTAATTTTAGCAATAGAAAGGCTAATTTCAATTTTTCTTCTTCTTTTCTCTCCTAGAAGTGTTTATGGAAAAACTCAATCAAAGAGACCATATATCCCACGAAGATGATAATAGCAAGAAGCCTATTGCTTGATACTCCACAGCACAATCATAAAAAAGGACATGGCCTCTAGAGAGCAACAAGAAAGATACATTTTACAATAAATATGAAAACTAGATGCCAAATTTGATGAAAGAAAGAACTTGATGTCATGCACACTGCACCCAAATAATTATGTCTGGTTAGACATGAGACTTGAGGAAAAGTAGTAAACTCCATAGGCGAGTATGAGTACATAAAGTCAAGTAAATAAAAGTGATATCAAATTGAAAAACTAAATACTATGATGCACAAATATGGGTACATGTATTGGATACAACACCGTTATGCCACGGATAAAACAATTACTGAGAAAACTAAGAAATGTATTGAACAAATTATAAAAATTAGAATCAACACTTATGATCCCATAAAACATATAAAATAGTTATTAAAAGGGGGGAGTGGAGAAAATAGGTTTTTATTATGAATCTTAGTCGTTCTACATGTAATAGAATACGAGGATATCAACATACACAAAAGTTTAAAAAATCTATAATAAAATAGTTATAGGATATATCGTAGCATAATCCAATCGTGGATGCACATCTAAACCAATGTAATAAAACATTCAATATACACAACACATGATTCAAGGGATAAATATTTTCTATTGCTCATTAAAAAAAAACTAAAGTATATGGTGTTCCTAATGCACACCGGAAAAGAAATCTAAATAGCAAGGTCTTCTTATTTTTCTCTTGCTTCTAGAAAAGGTCTTTCCCTATTAGGCACAAGCTTGCAGAAACCCAAGCATCGTGGCTACATTAATCTTAGAATTTGGGCTTAACGCAACTCCACAAAAACTATCTATGAGGTGAAGACTTTCCAAACTTTAGAAGCTCCATTTAAGTCATACCTCTAATCGATTGAAGACTCAACCACACAAGACCTGCATCCTAGTGATCACAATTAAGGTGGCTTTCCAACAATTAACTTGGATTTACAGTTCTTAAATTTAAAATTCTTCTTGATTGCTAGATAAAATTCCTCTAGATTGCCAGATAATACTTAACAACCAAAGTATTCTCTATAAGGTTAACAATGCCAATCTGTAATCAATGGTCCACACCTTTTTAATTTCAAGATTGCCAGCATCAACACCAACTTGCTACGACTTCCTGTCGCCGCCGTCAGAAGAGGCGGTCGGAGCGACACGATGGTTTTTAATTGACTCGCGTTTTTCTTTGAAAGAAACAGTCCAACGCCTTTAGGCCGTCCAATAACCGGACTAGACCTAAGGACGAGGTTTTCGAATAGGTTCGAGGAGTCGCCACCAGTGTTTTAACCTTAAACACTGAAAAAGGTAAAAAGGAAAAGGCAGTGGCTTTTATAAAAAACCAACTTTGGCCATTACAACCAGAGTCGGGTAAGGGAGTTAGTTACGTGCGGGGAAGGTGTTAGCACCCCCACAACGCCCCTTTCGGGTTCCCTATGATGGACTAATTTAGAAAATACATACTTAAGTAAATTACATTTTTACCCTATTATTTGATCTACTTGCAGAATTTAAATATCTACATGGTTCTACTATCTAATGCACATAAAGAAAGCGATAAAGAAAGCAGTAAAAGAGACAAAGAATAGAGAAGAAACCTCCGAAGCGAGCTTTATATTAACTCTTCTAAAACGTGAGGATGCTTTTTGGCAGTCCCCGCACTCTACAAGTATACTCCTCTCCGCAAAACAAAGAAAAGGTCACTCAATCGAGGGTCGGATGCCTCAAAAAGAGACTTCCTTAACCGATTTCAACCTTAACGGAAATCGGAAAGCTCCCTCTAACCCCGGAATAATGCTCAGGGTCATTCTCAAGTGCCAAGAGGCTTCCCCGAGAGTGGAGGAGTGGAAAAAGTGTGAAAATTCGGAGGAATGAGGTCCCTTTTTATGGGGATGCGGGCCAGGAAAGGCGGACGGCCGTCTGGACAAAGCGGACGGCCGTCCAGGGTAAAAAGTAGCCATGGACGGCCGTCCATGACCTTAAAGTGCCATGGACGGCCGTCTGCTTGCCATGGACGGCCGTCTGCCTGCTCTGGACGGCCATCCGCCTGTTTTGGACGACTATCTGCTGTCTCCGGCGGTTTTCCCGATTTTTAATGCCTCTAAAAACCTTTCCTATCCTAAATGGAACCTATAACAAGCTGCTAGGGACTTGATAGAGTCTTAACCATCTTCGGAATGAGCGATCTTCGGCTTTATTAGAAGTCCGGGCAAGATTTGGGGTCTACAGCTGCCTCCCCTTTACCCGACCAATTGACCAGGGATTAACATACTATTGAGGTCAAATGGCGGGTGAAGGAGTTAACCCCCTTGTCCGGTTGTCTTCTAGATGCTCCTCTCGCTGTGGAGGCTGACCTTTCGGACAATATGCTGTGAGGCTTCAGGATGCTCCTTTGGTGCGGTAGTTGACCCTTCGGCTAACACGTAGAGACTTTCGGGATGCTCCTTCGATGCGGTAGCTGACCCCTCGGACAAGATGTTGTGAGGCTTCAGGATGCTCCTTTGGTGCGGTAGCTGACCCTTCTGCTGACACGTAGAAACTTTCGGGATGCTCCTTCGATACGGTAGCTGACCCTTCTGCTGTGGTGGCGGCTTACTGTTTCTGGCCATGCGCCGACTCCATGGGGAGTGATTTTCTTGATTTTTGCGTAGTCATCCGGTATGCCGGGGATTCTTCACTTTTGGATTTTTGTTTAATCGTCCAGCTTCTTGATTACTGGGGGTTCTTGATGAATGCCTCTTAGGTAGGCAGATATTCCATTGAGATTCTGGTATTGCCTCTAAGTAGGCAGATGCTTCATCAGAAGTGAAGACTTTTTTTACTGTAATGTTTTGTCTCTGAATAGGAAGAGTTTTGGCTCTTGATGATGCCTCTGAGGATATGACCGTGAAGATTGTATCTGGGTGTAAATTCTTCTTTTTGGCGACCCACCAGAGATTTGGTTGACTCCTTGGGGATCAATTTTTGATAGCCCTTTGGGGGTGTTGAAAGTCCCACATCGCCTACCTCATATCATTTGTTATGGTTTAAATACATGTTAGGCTACTCCACATATTGCCAATTGGTTTTATGTTGGAACCTTAACATGGTATCAGAGCCAGGTTCCGATCCTGGGACCTGTGGGTTATGGGCCACAGGTTATTGTCAAGCTCTTATTCTTGTTGGGGAAATGGAATTCTTTAATCGTCTGACTTGTGGGTTGCCAGGGATTTTAATGATTGCCTTTTGATGTAGGCAAGAGTCTGATGGGGATTCATTGGCCTTTTATTGGCGATGCCAAGATACTTCATCGGAAGTGCAGACCTTTGGTTTGCGTTGTTTTGCCTTTGAATAGGCGAATCCGCTCGGGGGTAGAATTTCTCTTGGAGACTTGTTTTGGGTTGCTTCTTGTTTTCAAATACAAGCATGGAGCTAGTCTCCTTGTATGCATGAATTCTTTTTGTTGTGTTCCTGAAGCGATTATTTTTATCTTTACTTTTTATTTTGACAAAGTCGTTTTGTGCAACTACTTGTGTGAATGCTTTTTTTTTTTTTTTTAAATGCAGTTTTATTTTTATTTGGTGCATCTAAAAGGTGACTGACATTTCTTGTTGGATCATCGTGATTATGCTGATGGGCTCTTCTTTCATTCATTTTATCTTTTGCCTAGACCGTCTTTTTGTGGATTTTTGATCTAGTAGGCTGCCTTAATTTTGCTTAGGATATTTCAGCGGGTTTTGACTCTTTCTCTTTTCTTATGCTTTCTTGTATGATTTATTCAACACAGAGGCATTTTCATAATTTGGTCAAGAAAAAAGAAATGAAAGACAACTTTATTGATATGAACAAATAGTTTATTTTTTACAGATGATTTTTACAAAGGGATTTAGAAGCATGGCTGGCCAAGGTTGGCTACACTGTATAAGCTATAACGATCATGCCTCCGATATCCGCCTCCCGGTTCTCCTAGTTACCTCAGTTGAGATGCTCGAGCCCGGAGTGAAGACAATGCAGAGGTTGCTTGCTTCTGGAAGGACGTCACCTTAGTCGCCTTTCGATTTTCGGCTGAGGTAACCATTGCTCTTTTTTCTTTTTTTTTTTCTTTTTTTTGAAGCCTCTAAGTTTTGCCTAGGACGTGTCCTAGCGAGGCGTGCGGATCCTAACTTTTGCCCAGGACGCCTTTTTACGGATTTTCATCCTGGCGGATCACGAGCAATGCCTTCAAGCGTGATACTTCTTCACCGCATCTGAATTGACTGGGTGCCGCAGTTCTTCTCCATCCATGTTGGTGAGGATAAGAGCTCCTCCTGAGAATGCCCGTTTGACCACAAAGGGTCCCTCATAATTTGCCGCCCATTTTCCGATTTTATCCTTCTGGGCCGGATGCAGTTTCTTTATTACTAGATCCCCCTCGTGATAACTGTGGGGTTTGACTTTTTTATCGTAAGCCCTTTTGATTTTC